AAGACTGGACACAAAATTGTCCCAAAACCCACTTTTGAAGTTTTTGGATGTGACAAAAATTTTATTATGAGCTTTGTCTGGGAAGAACACTACTGTGTCTCTATCTGTTTTCCACACTTAGTCAAACTTGCAAAACTCATCCTCTAGATGGTTTCCCTTAGTAGCCATAGACAACAGAAGTATTAGATAGAATCTATATGAAAGCGTTTATTCCTTTTCTATTTATACATCACCTGGTAGAGAATATACACCTTCAATATAAATAACAGTTAAGTAAATATTTCTAATTCGACTCAACGGGAATGTGAAGAGAAGGTGTTTTATTGGGAAACCTACCGTTTGCAGGGGACAGTCTGCAGAACCGTGTGCCCGGGTGCAGGTTCCTACATTGATTAGATGATGGAGGAAAGGCAGCCAGAAAAAAGGTGAAAAGAAGTTCATCTACTGTCTCAAAGAATAAAGATTTCAGACTTTTAAAATGAAAATATACCATTGGCATCAGATACTAGTCACAGGTAATTATTTTGAAACAGTTTCCTGAGTAAGACACACATACCCAGGACACCCTCAGGCTAAATGTGCACCTAGAGACTAAATTTGCCCTTGGTTGTATGTGAGTTGGTTGTCCTTACAGTGAATAAAAGCTGCTTTTCATAGTACTCTACTCTCCTGTTAAAAAAAATTTTTTTTAAGCCCTGGCTGGTGTAGCTCAGTGGATGGCGCACAGGCCTGCGAACCAAATGGTTGCTGGTTTGTTTCCCAGTCAGGGCACATGCCTGGGTTGCAGGCCAGGTCCCCAGTAGGGGACGCACAAGAGGCAACTACACATTGATGTTTCTCTGTCTCCTACCTTTCCTCTCTAAAAATAATTAAATAAAATCTTTTAAAATTTAAAAAAAACACTTCTGAAGATATGAATAAAAATGCATCAGATTTAAAATACTCCTGGGGGGAATCTGAATGGAAAGCTAAGCTGGGCGACATCAAATTAAGCCCCTTCTTGTAAAATACATCAAATTCAAAAAAGTACCTTTCTTAAGTCCTTCAAAAAAAGTACTAATCTTTCTAATGAACCTCCGACTCCATCAGTCAAACTACTTTTTTTTGGCAAGAACAGATTCTATCTATATAAAAGTCATCAAGGACTGGTTTAACAGAAAGCACCCAAAACATTAATCACAAGGTAAAATACTTTTCTATTCTTTGTCCAATGAAAAGTCATTGTTCAAAGAATTCTGAGCGAATACAACTCCCACACTAGAGAGGATGGTCCCTGTCAATCCTTGTTAGTGTAGGTCTCACTCCTGGACAAGTCATCGGCAGGCACCCTGAGAGTCCCTCAGTGCATCCCCTGTATCTTCAATAGAATGAGGGGCCATACCAGGTCACGTCCCCAAGACCCTTTCAACAAGCCAGCAAACTAACAAGGGCAATAGTTTCAGGAAATGATTAGAGACACAGCAATAAACGAACGTGGTGATACAGAAAGAGCTCATGTGAATGGAAAGGCCTCACTGGGGTAGGTGAAGATGTTGAGCTGAAACCTGAATGCCAAGAAAGAGCCAGTTGTTGTGAATCTAGAAAAATGAATTCTGCCTGTTTTCTTCATTGTGACATTTACTCATATTATTGTATAGAGCACAGGTGGCAAACACAAGGCCCCCAGGCTGAATCCCGCCCTCTGCCTCGTTCTGTCCAGCCTGGCACCTTGTTTCTACCCAGTGACAATGCTGAACTCTCATTTAACTGTTAAAAAGTAGATACATTTATACAGTCCTAAAATTACATTCAGCCCTTTGAAGGCAACCTTGAGGCTGATGTGGCCCCTGGTGAAAATGAGTTTGACACCCTAGATAGAGTATATACCCTCACAATGGTGTCTCAGAAAACTCATGTGATTGCAATCAGGAATTTTAAATCCCAGGCATAGAAGAACACTTACCTGTTACTTATAAGCAGGACAACCCCGGGCATTATTTCTCAGCTGAGGGCGCATTTCATTACCAAATGTTCTGCAAATGTCTTCTAAATCATATAGATAAGGCCATCTAAATGGTTGACTTTCAAGAGTATATGCTTCTTCTTTTATCATAGAAATGCCCATATTCCCTAATGAATTCGCATCCTCAAGGATCCATCATTAGTTCTAATTTACAATTATTTTCCTCACTTCCTCTAAACAACCAGGGACCCACAGAGTAGGCTTCCTTTACATTGTGAGATAACCAACTCCATTGCTACCTGAGCAGTGCTATGTGCTCAAGGTTCAGCACATAACAGCAGTTCAGGCGGCATACTCACCGTACCAGCCAGATTCAGAAAGGATTACTTGAGCTTGTGGCACACAAGAAAAGACTTTCTATCACATATTAATTTTTTTAATGTTTTCTTAAGCCCCTTTCAGCCTTTAAGGCTAACCCAAAAGCCAGGTAAAAAATGAATTAGTATATTATGGTTTTATTTGAAGACGTGCAAGTTTACCATTGCTTTTTTCCCCATGTCACATTTGGACACCTCCATTATGGTTACTTAGGTGTCTGATGGTTTGTCAGAAAGCTGGCCATAACTTAGGCGGAAAACTGGACTCCATTAAAAAAACATTAAAAGCTGAGAGGCAGGCAAGTCGATGGGGCATGGCTCCCAGCAATAAGGAAGCAAGAGTGCGTGCTGCAGCTTAGAAATAGAAAGTGATGTCCTCATAAAAACATAGCTCGAGGCTGGTGTGCCACTAGAAATTCTTCTGTCAGTTTAGAATATTTAGCTCTGAGGGATTTCGACTTTCAAATGTATCTTTGGATGCAAAACAGGCTGCACAGGAGGAGACAGCATTGAAGAAGGAAAAGAAGCATTTGCTCCCAATTATGATCGGTTTACATTAAATGGCAGATTTTTTTTCCAGATAGAATATTTGAGCAGAACGTGTGCAGGTGGGTTAGATCAGCTATGTCTCTGACATCAAGCGACCCACTGGCCTTTGTAACTAGAAAACCTTGCTGATAACCGATAGAGCTGAACAATATTAAAAGCTTCAGCACTACTGGTTATCAAGGGAAACTTTCAGCCTAATTGGAAAGCTCAAAGCTTCAGGCATCTAAAAGTTTTGGTTTTGGGCTCTTCTAGGGCATTCCAATGCAGTTTTTCCAATCAATAGCGTGATGCTATGCACAGCACCATTGCGAGGCTTATTACCTCCCCTGAGTTTTGTATTTGACTTGTTAAACTGTAAAAAGAGAGAAACAAACAGAAAGAGAAATATCTTGGTCCCTAGTTGCCGAAATATAAAACAATCAAATAAACAAACTCTAGTGTTCAAAGAAAACTGAAAAGGGAAATGGGAAACAAGTAGATGTGTACTTTCATGCACAAAACATGAGCATCTTGGTGACCTGCCTTAGTGGAATCTGTTCTTCTGGGTCATCTGTCCAAAGAAGACTGAATGATGTGTTAAGATTGCGTTATGACAATGTAGATTCCTGCCCTGAAACCTACAAACATGAGGGGTTTTATCCACAACAGAAGGTGATATTTTTCAGCCCAATTTAGCTACAAGCTGTGGGTTATGGATGCCACAGTTACAGCATCACAAGGAAGTCGGCACAATCAGTTCCTCAGAGAGACAGTCATTGGCACCTGAAATACTTCACAGTTTTCTTCACCACTCTCCTTGCACAAAATCTAACAGCAGACTCTCCATATTCTGGCAACTTGGATATTTATGGAATTGGGTGCTCCAGAGAACTTCCACTGGAATCATTGATCGGGGAGTGTTCAAACTGGAACAAGACAGGAACAAGGTCTTTCCTGGGTTTTGAATTTTCCCTTAGCCCCGAAGGTTCACCAAGTTGCCTTCATCAGAAGTTTCAAAAGGAATATAAGAGATATTAGTAGTTGAGTGAGAAATAAGGAGAGGAAGAAGGTGAAGTACAGATCAAGGCCAGCACCAGCTCTGCCCTTTGGTGTGAAACATCGACTTCTGGGACCAGAGGACAGAAACCTCCTCTGTGTCTAAGAGACAGATCTCAATTTGAACCTAAAGACACCCGTTTACTCACATTTCAGTGTTTCTGAAATCAGAATATATATTACGATCACTGTCGGCCAGCAAGAGTCAGCCGTAGTTGTCACTACCTGTGCACAGCATCAGACTCATGGAACGGTTCTGGAGGGAACCCAGCGGAGCCATCTTTCGGAACCGCCGCATCAGCAATGCTCCTGCTGGCCTGGCGGGTGAACCTGTGCAGCAAAATGTGAACATCGCTGACTCTGAGTTGTAAAATAGTTTCTGAGATTCACACTCTAAGTGTGAAGTTTTACAGATAACTAACCAATGTATTTCATTTACATTTTTCTTGTACATATGCACACATGAGAAAAAATCAATGTGAAAATCAGTTCAAGAACCAATAAGCATATAATGAAAACTCTAAGGCAGTAAGAAATTGGCACGCTACAGTTGCAGGAACATTTCTTGCTTTCTCAGTGGTACATAAAACATGGTGCATCCAACAACTGATGACATCTAAAATATAATGAAATAAAAAGTTTGTATGAGCTAGGATAGTTTACTCATAGCTCTGAACTTCAGATTTCTCTCTCTCTCTCTCTTTTTCTTAGTCCTCCCACTGAGGATATGTTAATTGATTTTAGAAAAAGAGAGAAACATCAATATGAGAGAGAAACATTCATTAGTTGCCTCCACTGGATGCCCCAACCAGGGATTGAACCCATAACCTTTTGGTGTATAGGACGAAGCTCCAACCAACTGAGCCACCTGGCCAGGACAGATTTATTTCCTGGAAATGGAGAGCCACATCCTAGAGAGAGGGGAGTTGACAGAGCTACTTTATGTGGCACATTATCTGTTCCAGGTCAATGGCAGTAAATATCCCTCTCTAATTATTTATCTGCTTCAACCAGGCCACAGAACAAATACCACAGACGAACTCATTTACTTACCCTGGTGTGCTTTTCTTTGTTTGTTTTACTCAGCAACCCTGCACCGGTGGACTAAAAAACGCCAGTCAGGCCTTGATGACAAGTGTGTTTTTTGGTGATCTTCTATGAAGCAAATAAAATGAATAATTATTTGGATCTAGTGTTATAATGATAGAATGATGGTGGCATCAAATCAGATATTTTTAAATGTCAGTCCAGAAGAATAGAAAAGAATGCATCGATCTCCCAGTGGGTGGAGAGAATCGTTTGGGTTTTTTATTTTTATTTTATTTCTTTTTAATTACATTTATTGGGGTGACATTGGTTAATAACACACTTTTAGGTGTACAACTTTATAATGTGACATTTGTAGACTCCATTGTGTGCTCGCCACCCAAAGTCTAATTTCCTTCTGTTCCCTTATATTTGACACCCTTTACCCTCTTCATTGTCCCCCTACCCTTTCCTCTGTGGCAACCGCAATTCTATTGTCTGTATCTATAAGTTCATCTGTTTGTTTGTTTTTTTAAATGACAGGGAATGAGCCAACTAAAAAGGTAAATGTTTTTAAGTTAAAAGGTTAAGCTATAGCTACTTTTCTTTGATTCTAAAAGTCTGTCTTTAAAAAATAAAAAAGAATGAACAAATGAGCAATCTCAACCTAAATTTTTAAAAATTTAAACTAGCTTTTATTTTCACTTGATTTTTCCTGTTTGAAAATCTGTTTTTAAGTGGCTATTTCTTTGTCAATGGATAAACAGAGAACCAGTGAACTTCCAGTGCTATTTTCTTTCCTCATCAGTATTCTCCTGCACGAATCCTGTCCAAGATACTGTGGAGACCTTCTTCCTGCTTGGTTAAGGTCACCACGGTGGGATCATAATACAGAAGAGAACAAATTAGCCAATTTACACCTTAACAAACATGCAACACTACGCTTTTAAAGGGCTGGGTGGCTTTTCAGGAAGATAGAAAGAAACCAAAATAGATAATATCTGGACAAGTCAGCAATAGTTAATGTATTCTTAAATGTATAGAATTTATTACCAAATTATAATCCCATTATTTAGGTGAATGTAAACCTCGAACAAAGAAAATAATCCATTTCTAACACTCAGGAAGGAAAAAGATAATATAAAATGTAACACCAGAAGAAATAATTATACATGACAGAGACCCACGGAAGAGTGAACTGAATAAAAAAAACAGGTGATCATCAGAATATTCAGCCTAAATTCATGATCTTTCCTTTCCCAGGGTTCTTGATGACCCTATTCAGAGAGAGCGATGTGGAACAGGAAACACCCAAAGACTGTAATTTAGGTCTTATACACCTCATAGTCTGTCACAGTACGCCCCCGGATATTTCTGGACTGAGTGTAAGAAAGTATCGGTAGAAGAATCAATGAGATGAGATGGATAGCCATACTCTCAAAGCCCCAGGCGCCCGGGACAAGAACTGGTACAGAGAAGGCTCTCTGGGATCCGTGTTCCGAGACCATTGCTGGTCCTGGGAGCGGGAACCTCCGGTTGACTTTAGGATAGAGGATCAGGGTCTGGCTCACGACTACAATAGTGGACCAAAAGACTCAAGATCTCCAGAATGTTCTGAGGCCCTAAGAACTCCAGGGAAATCCTGAATACTTTGTATATATTTGAAATAGGCTGAAAGATGGAGAGCTAAGGAGAAAGAAAGCCTAACAGTGATTAAAACTCTTTCATGTCCACTTGAAAGGAAATTGGGAGCAACTGTCACATTTCTAAAAAAGGAAATGAGAGGAGGAAGGGGGAGAGGGAGGGGAAACGGAGAGAAAGAGGGACGGGGAATGGTGGATGGGATGAGAGGAAGGGAGGGGATGGGAGGGGGAGATCCCCATGGAATAAAGACTGTTTAAGATGGGACACGCTAACTTTTGCTACCCAAGAACCAGCATCCAGAATCCCCTTTACCATGTTGCCAAACCTCAATAGCCCAAGTTGTATGTGTCTCAGAGGGGGAAGTAACTTACAGAAATTTTTTAAACCAAAACACTGGGTTTCCAAGCCTAATCACCCAAAAGACTCTTATTGTAAATATCAAAATACACATACCCTTAGTCACTGAATAGAAACTTGAGTTGTTAAAACAATAATAGTCATTAGAACAACAAAGACTCCCTGGGGTTCTTCCTGTGAAGCATTCTGGGTGTTTTCAGCGGAGGTGATATCCCAATGCTTTATAAACGACCCCTTCTTAACCTGACGTGTGTGTGTGTGTGTGTGTGTGTGTGTGTGTGCGTGTGCGTGTGCGTGTGCGTGTGTGTACGCGCACGTGCGCGTCAGTGAGTGAGGAAAGAATTCATCGCCTTGCATCACAGGTGGAAATCTGAGTGTGGAGATGCAGTGGGCAGCTAGATCACCACGAGAACCAGGCTCAATACTATGATTGAGGGTGGCTCCCGAGGAAGAATGTCTGTAACAGTGAACTTGAGGAAAAAGGGCAAAATCCGGGAATAAGAAGAAAATGGTTAATAGGAAGCGGAAGGGCAAAGACAAGCTCCACCCTCGGAATCAGCTGGAGGCTGGTTAAGGGACCATGTAGAGGTGGTTGAGGTCTCTGTGCCTCTGAGCACAAAACCAGCGTCTGAAAGAGGGAGGTAAATTGGAGACTGTTGAACAGAAAAATGTGTAGATTTATGAAAGCAGCCTTTTAAAACTGTACACTTTATCAGAAACTAATGAAACGGATCCTCTCCCATCTCCCTTCTATTCCTTTACCATTGCTAATCAAAAGGGCTGACCAATAAAATAAAAGATCTTGAAAATTGGAAGAGGGAGAAAGGCAGACAGGGAGGGGAGGATTCTATACACATTTGAAGACAAAAATCCTACCGGGGAGACTGGCGGCAAGAGTTTCCAATTACAAGGGAGGGTGAAGATGGCAGAGAAGATATGAAATATCATATTTGTGTTTGTTCTATACCAAAATTGAGGATCTTCCTACCTCAAGGACAATTTTCACAGAAAGCAAAATGAATTGTGCAGGGGGTAGGGACTCTCTACCTGTCCATTGTGCAGCCCAAACAGGGCTGATCCACCCGCCCACTGTGGTCAGTGCACACCAGGTGCCCAAACCCGAAGAGGCTTGGCCGTGGCCCTTATGGGTCCTTCACTCCAACAGCATGCACTGTTGGGACTGAAGATCCCACCACAAGCACAAACACATACAGCCACAAAGGCGTCTCCTTTTTTGTCAGAAGCTATTACAGTTCTTCTGACTGCTCTTCCCTGCTCACTCCAGTGCCTGACATTCTGATAAATCTGAAAACGATGGATCTTCTTTGCCCTTTCTACCACCCCAGGGAGGCTTCAAACTGCCTCTAAGGTTAACTTGGAATTACTGCACTTGAACTTAACATGGGTTTCAGAGAATATTACACTGGAGAATTGTGGGATGGGGTGGAGGGCTAAGGTGAGTCACTTAAAAAGCTTTATTGAAATATTTTTCACATACTGTAGAGTTCACTCATTTAAAGTGTACAGTTCAAAAAGATAAAGTGTACAGTTCAGTGGCATTTCACACATTTGCAGTGTGGTGCAACCATCACCACTATCTAATTCCAGAACATTTTCACCCCCAAAAGACCTCAAATTCATTAGCAGTTACTCCTCTTCCCTCCACTACCCACCCCATCCTCAGGTAACATGTTCCCACTTTCACTCTCTATGGATGATTTGCCTATTCTAGACATTTCACATAAATTAAATCATATAATTTATAATCTTTTGTGACTGACTGGCTTCTTTTACTTCGTTTTCAACGTTCACCCATGTATAGTATATATCAGCACTTCATTCTTTTCTATTGCCATATAATATTCCACTGTGTGAATCACCACATTTTTTATCCATTCATCAGCTGATGGACATTTGGGTTGTTTCCACATTTTGGTTATTATGAATAATGCTGCTGTAAATATTTATGTACAAGTTTTATGTATATACGTTTTCATTTCTCTTGGAATAGAATAGCTGGGTCATACAGTAGCTCATGTTTAATATTTTCAGGAACTGTTGAACTGTTTTCGGCATCCTTTTGCATGTCCATGAGCAGTATATGAGGGTTTCAATTTCTCCAACACTTGTTTTTGCCTAGGATTCACTTTGAAAAACATCTAGCCAATTTGTTTAACTTTTACTCTACACCAACATCTTTGCTCAGTGCTCTGTATTTGTTATCTTGCTTAATATTCAGAATACCCTAAGAAGTAAATGTCATTTTCTCCCCTTCACAAAGTGAGCAAGGATTAGAATTTAATGACTGGACAAAAACACCAGTGGTAGAGTGGGCACACATTTCCATCTCTGCTTCCAAAACCTGCTTTCAAATACGACCCTAGGTAACCTCCCAAGATGCCTTTCCAGGCCAACCCCACCCCCCAGGATCATTTCTTCTTTTAAAATGAGAGCTAGTTGGTAATGGTTTGTGTACCACTTGGTATTGTTCTCTGGTTGCTGCCTGTATAAAATGTTATTTTCCCAACCAGACAATCAACACTGTTGGCTGGAGTCACTCTTCCTTCATTTGGTACTGGAGAAATAAAACATTTAATGAGCTGACAACATTTTTGGTGAGTTTGACATGTCTACTTCTTTTTTCTAGGATGTGGGGGGTAAGTGAAGACATAATTTCCCTTTCAGCTTGTTTCCATGGTGTATGTGTGAAGCAAGAAGGAACAGACCGTGGCAATGCTTCCACTCAAACTCACATAACCCCCACAAAACTCTAGGAATGTGTGTTTCAGAGAGTGTTGCTTGGGATTTTTTAAAAGCAAGACTTTCTAATAGAAAGCTTTGGCTCTTCCTTTGGAATCCAAGATACACACATGCACCATACATACACAATATATACATATGTGCATACACTTGAGCGTTTTTTGCATGTGTATTATATACCAGGCCTTTTATATATGTCATCTCTTTTCCCTCTAACACAACTATGAAATAGGTATGAATTACCCATATTGTATACATAAGCAAACTCGCAATGCTCACAAGGTCACTTAAACAAGGTTACAGAGCAAGTAAATGACATTTAATGTTGGCCCTTCAGCTGACGTTCTTTTCACTACACTGCACAGCCT